TGTAAATTGCCCGTAGCTTATGTTTGTGTGGCGTCCTGCGTCGGGCTGGCATCCTGCCCAGGGTGTTACCCTGCTTTGTACACTGCTGCTGCCTGGGATTTACTCCAGGCCTCCTGTGACTCCCCCCTAACCAGGATATGGATGTTATAAGGTCTCTAAAGATTTGCACATCTTTTTCATATTACAGTCACAAATTCTGTCTCCAAATTAAGGGATTATGGGTGAAATCCGAGCCTCCCTCTTGTCTGAGTTAATGCATAAGCTGTAATATATCCTGCCTTAGATACCATTACAATTCATTGGTTTCAGTAATGCACTTGCAAGGACTGAAGCATTAGAGGATTTCACTGGAAACTGACGTGCAGTTTGCAGTTTGAAGGACAGTGCTTGTTCAGCCAGCAGTTCCCCTGTTCCCTTTTCTCTCTCTGACTGACATACATGTAAAAAGGCTATAAGAGGGAGATTGACTTCATCACCAAGAGCTTGCCCAAACTTAAATTGTTTCCATTGTCATGGCGACAATGGAAACAACTGTCTGGCTCAGTGGGTTAGGCTCTTGTGCCTGTGATTGGAAGGTCCTGGGTTCAAATCCCACGGTTGGCAAAAAGATTTTGCTCTTGACCCGTCGAGCAAGGCTTTTATCCTTAACTGTTCTGGGGGTGGCTGATCAGAAATGCGTTGGGTCAGTTCAGCAACACAGACATCAGAAACATTCAGCCTTATTAGTTTTGCGATGTAAGCTGGAGCTCGTAAAGTCTGGAAGAGACAATTGAATGCATCAGACACACACAGTTGTAAAGGAGCTTTTTTTTAAAGCAGGGTGTAGATGAGATGGAGCTGTAATGAAGGGGGGAGGGGGCTGATCCGGGTGCCAGTCCTGCCTATTTGAATGTGGCCTCACTTCTGCGGCCGCCGTGCTGCTCCCCCGCTAACGCTGCTCATCACGAGCACTGCTAGCAGCCACACACACGATAAGCAAACGGCTACATATGAGGTCATGCTTTTCTTTTCATTTTAATGTTAGGCTTTAAAAACGCAGTGCAGCAGCTAATGTTAGGGTCACGTGCAGTAGGATTCGAATCCCTGATCTCGGGGGTGTGAGGTAACAGTGTCACACCTTGTAACACCCTCACTTACTCTGTGTGTGTGTTTTGTTTGTTTTTGTTTGTTTGTTTGTTTCACATGTTTGCATAGATCACATTTGGGGACCAAAATGTGGTAAAACCTAAAACTTCCTTACTTTTTGGGGACATTTTTCAGATCCCCATTTGGATAACCTCAATTTTATAAAAATCTGTGGCTACAATCAAAAAACTCAAAAAGGCAAAAGTCTTGTATTTTGTTTGGTTACTTATGGTTAAGGTTAGAGCTGGGTAGAGGTTAAGGGTGCTGTGACTGTGATTAGGGTTTTCCCATATAAATGAATGGAAGGTCCCTATCTAGATAGGTGTGCCAACATTGTATATGTGTGTGTGTGTGTGTGTGTGTGTGTAATACAGTCTCTGGAAACTTGTGATATCTGATCGTGGGCAGATGCTGCCGTTCAGACAAATTTTGGCTTGTGTCATGACTGCGTGCTCAAAGTTTGATTACATCTCATTTCAGTCTTAACAAAATATAAAAAATATCATACAGAAATATCAAAATGTCATACATTGTCACTCGATATTGCTTTTTTTAAGCACCTGGCCAGGATGATTTCTGGAGATTCCAGGTTCTTCCACGCTTGTTCAGTCCCCAGTAGTGTCCCTATCACTGCATGTACTGCACTGTGCGGGAATCTCCCAACATTGGGTATGTCCAGTCAGGCACAAAGTTGAAAGCCAGAGTTACAAGTAATGCAATTCATGTTTCATCGCTTAAACCACTTGTCATCAATATAAGCAAAAATACGGGCCCTCTTTTTCCTGTCTACTTCAATCAAGTGGAAGTAATCATTTTTTTGAATGTCAGGAACATCCTGGCTAGGCCATGATTCGTTGAAATGCACACGGCATGATCCCAGCCCTAATGCGTGGTGTTTTTTATGCAAACCCATACCCTGTCAGCAGTTGGGCAACAGCTAATGTTAGGGTCACATGGAGTAGGATTTGAATCCATGATCTCGGGGGTGTAGTACTGTTGGAGTTAGCTGAAACCTGGCTGCTGTTTGGTGAAGACGTTTGGGGGGGGGGGGGGGTTCTGGTTTATGTAGGGGTCAGAATACTTTGGATATTGGTGAGTAATCGCTCTCAAAGTATTAAATATAAATACTTGCAAGGGCGGGTCTCAGGGGGAGGCCTGTGATCATTCTCCACGTCCTCACGGAATCTTCACCTCTGAACCCGTTCCCGTGGACTGATGGAGCAAAACTCTGACAAGCCACATCAGCGTTCTTGAAATGCAGTTGGGATTCCGGAATATTCCCACGAGAGGGTTTGCTTACAGCATTTATTTTTAGGCTCACAGGAATGCTGCTGAGCTGCTGTGAGCTGCTCAGCACTGGGCAGGTGTCCAGCTTATTTTAAAGACTGAGTGTCCTTGGATGGATTCTTGGCCTCACACCGTGTTGAATGTGTAAAAGCTCTGCATATGGAGACCTAATGAATAACAACATCAATTACCATGTTAAGACCCTCTAGTGTCTAACTGAGCATACAGGGTTTTTACTTATGTCTTCATATCTATTGTTGTGGAAAGGCAGGTTGCATTTATGTAGTTCAGATATGCTTCCATTTAGGTCTGAGTGGAGGTTATACCCAAATCTGATTGAATTCCATGGGTTAATGATACTACATGATTTTTTTTATTACAATAAAAGCCTTTATGTTTTATATATATATAAATCTTAAATGTTGTCTTGATTTTTTTTTTTGCCTGTAACCTACCACAAATCTTGTTTAGTGTTTATCTTGTGGTAGAATTGCGAAGACAGGCAAGTGTAGGCAGGGTCCTATGTTACTTGGCTGAGGATTTTATAATGGTGATCTTTGTAGAATTTTCACTCTTAGGAAGAGTAGCTATGCTGATTTTTTCACTTTTTTTAAATTCTGTTATTTCTATTTGTAAGCATATTCCGTTATGCTCCTGCTTCACATACATTTTCCATCGGTGACCTTGATTTTTTTTTTTTAAAGCATTTGATTAAAAATGGCATGCAAGATGTTGTGTGTTACATTTTTATTTTTTTGTATTTATTATTACGACTGATGAAAATAAGATCTGTTTTAAGAGACATTCTAGCAGAAATCTTGATAATTCCAAAGGAATAAATTTTGAAAATAAGTATATTATGATTTGAAACATTCTTAAACAATTCAAGCAATTTCATAAGTTGCCAGTCAAAGAAATCTATGTTTATATTTTTTTGGAAAGAATTTAAATTAATCCCCTTATGAATATGAATATGAAATGTTCATTTCACCCTGTACCCTAAGAAGAATTCAAGTTACTGAACATGTATCAATAAACAATAGGTAGTAGGTGTCGAATCAAAGAGAAGATTTTTTAATAGGATATGTAGTGGAGATATATAATCAGTGTAGTTTAGAAATCTGAATAATGTACTGGGTAAGTCTAAATTGTCTTGTTTTTTTTTTTTTTTTTTTTAAATAAATAAATATGTGTTTGCATGAAACTTAAGGTTTTCATTGTTGGATAATGTACATAATACTGGTACAGTTCAAGTATGGCTTGGTTCTTGGTTGCAGTGGAAAAGCGCCAATAGATAATTTGTGAATTTTTCTGTGTTTTGTATATCTGGTTGGTTTTCCGTATGTTTTGGTTATGGAAAGGGCTTATTGACCGGGGAATCTCATTTTTAATTTACATGCCATAGATCATGAAGAGTAGTTTTCTGTGAGCGTGGAGAGCAGGGTTGGGGTCATTCCGGAATGCATTCAACAATTTCAAACCAAATCAAGGAAAGGAACTGGAGTTGGGATTGGAAAAACAAAAGTATGGGGAACAGAATTGGAATTGAATTTGGATTTCAGGGAAATTTACATTCTAACTCCAGTTCCATTTCCTGATTTGGACCATCAGCCATTTTTTGTAGTGGAGGACAAGGGAATTGCGTCGGCTCATTCACTTCTTAGGACCTCGCTACAGTCTTCCAAGTCAGTACCTCTTAGCTAATGTTTCACTGTCTGCATTATATGATGTGGTGGCCATACACATTCACAGGACCTTCACTATGGATTTGTGGAGATCAGAGGATGGCTGGTTATCGTTATCGGTAATAATTACATCTGTATGGGCCGAAAAAAAACAGAGATGGCAAAGAATGACTCCATCTCGTTATACTCCATTGCTGATATGGCTGCTCAGAAAGAGCTACAGAACCAAAATGTGTCCCCCCCTGCCCCCAGTGCTGGGGAAGTTACTCACAAAAGTAACCCATTACAGACAGTTCAGGTCCAGAGAGTACAAATCCAGACCCTGGTTTCGTTTCAGCCAACCAGTTGAGTACTGTGTGACTGACTCTTTATACTCAAAACTGGATTTGTACTTTCTGTAGTTACTCAGCCAGTGCTGAGTAACTTCAGCACTGGCTCCCCCAAACACCACCTTGAATACTGGTACTAATACTNGTCCAGAGAGTACAAATCCAGACCAACATTTTATTTCAACCAACCAGTTGAGTACTCTATGACAGCAACTGTTTATACTCAACTGGATTTGTACTTTCTGTAGTTACTCAGCCAGTGCTGAGTAACTTCAGCACTGGCTCCCCCAAACACCACCTTGAATACTGGTACTAATACTGTTTTCATTTAACTTCGGTCATAAATGCTGGCGTTACATTTCCTTTACTTCATGGCCCTAAACAGTGTCCACATGGAGTTTATCGTATTAATTGTGATGTATAAGTGCAGTATCTTCATGTGTGGAGTTAAATGCATTTGATTGCGATTCTCATGTCTTAATTATGTCAGTGCTCAAATATATGCTTACACTGGGGAACAGTTGGGCATATTGAATAACCACAGGTGTGTCTTTACCTGACTCTGCTCATTTAATCTTTTGATTCATGCAGTAATCGCTTGCGTGAGAGATTCTATACCTCCTGTCTTAAAGTGTAACATTCAGGCCCGAACAACTATAGTGGCTTTCTGAAGTGTTGATGATGAATATAATGACATGCGGAGGTATTCCAGTGCGCTGCTGATAAATGTGGCATAACAGCGTGTCGTTCATTGGTTTAGGAGCCTGTGCCTGTGATCGGAAGGTTGTTGGTTCAAATCCCACTGGAGGTTAATGAATTTTCAGTTGAGCCCTTGGGTGGGATCTTTGACCACCAGTTGCTTTAGGGACCGTCTGTCCCTGCTATCTCAAAAATGTATGTTGCTTTGGTTCATTTCATAGATTGGATGCACATCACTCTGCGTGAGAGATGCTGGCGTGGAGGCTTCAGTTTAGTTTCAGCAATATAATGCCGTCATTTCTTACATCCCATATTCACAGATTTTCATGCATATGTTTTGGGTTCGGTGCCACTGCCGCTCACGTCTTTTTCACATATAAAATGTATACTGCTGATGTGATGATATTGACACTTGTTTTTTTTTTTATGAAGGCAGACAAAGCGAAGACCGACTGTAATCCAAAGTATGCAAACGTTTCCACACAGGCTTATGTTGTTTAGCTGAGCTGTATAAGCAGTGAAGCAGGACACGGTGCCTTGAATACAGAAGAGTGGGGAGGGAAATTAGCATTGGGCTGAAAGGAAGAGATGGAGCTTTTTAAAAGTGTGATAGACTCGCAGGTCTGGCCAGCGACAGCTGACTGCCAACGGCTGTGCAAAACTTAAACCAGTAATAAAAGTATACATGCATATAAATGATCAAACTAAAAAGAAAAATTGCTAGTTTGGTTAGTTAAACTTGATTGTCCCCAGGTGGAATTTTTTTCCACAACACTGTATATTCCAAAAAAAATCAACATCACATTACACACCTATCATTGCACAATACAGAAGATAGCACAAACTCCGTTTTCATGAACAGTGGACATAACTATCATTAAGACCTCCCCTGCAGCCTGACCAAAGACAAAGCCCTTCAGTGTTTCGTGTGAACATTAACACCCAGACCACAGTGAAGTGGCCTCCTCTCTAACAATCAGCCCTGCCTGTGCTGGTGTTTGGGTAACTTTTTCTGTTAATGATCAAGCTCAACATGCCTCATGTTTAGTTTTTTGTTTTTTGTTTTTGTCATTGTACCAGCTACAATGAAATTTTAAGTGCCATCTAACTGCATTAAATTAGAGAGAGAGCATATAAAAACCGATAATAAAGCAATAATTCATTCATGCGCACACACACACACACACACACACACACACACACACACATATGTAGGGTAAACATATCCTTATGGGGACATTGTGTCCCCATAAGGATAGGTAAACCCACTCACACACACACACACAACCATACATTCGAACATCATTGCACAAAACAAAAACTCCTTCAGCTTTACTCTGATGCCCAAATTCATGAGTGAATTTATGATGAAACCCTTTCAAACTGCCCGTCGTTTTATCTCAAGGATCCGCTGTCTGTAAAGTTAGGTTAACACATGTTTTGTGTTTTCTGAATTTACTTCGAGTTATTTTTATATCTCACACCCAGCCGAGAAAAGCGGTTTTGCTTAACTTCCTGGTCGTCTAAACATTAGCTAAAGTCTTCTTTTACCCGCGGTAGGAGTGCTGCTTGCGCCTTTTCTGTTTTGGAATGTCTGTGTATATTTCAGTAAATTCACTGTGTGGGGCTGTGGGTGGAGGGCTGATGCAGAGATACCATTTTAAGCTACTGCATCACCGTCGGCCTGAGAACAGGAAGCAGCTCTTTGTTAGCTCTGTTTCTTCGCATGAAAATCTTCCCATTCTCCTGGGACCTGTGAGCTCGTGTGGTCAGAGGGCCATCCTACCATCCCGTCATGTTCCAGGTGGACAGAGTCTGCAGAGTAGGGGTGGTAAGATTCACTGATTTGCTTTGGTGCACCAGCATAAAAGTTTGTGATGCGACTGCCCTGATCACAAACGTGTGCACCAGATACAGTTTGGAGTGAGCTTGGCATGCATAGTTAACACCTTTGCCCGTCGGTAAAATCTAATTTATAACTATATAATTATTAGTAGAGGCTGTATGGCTTTATTATTTAGTGACCAGTAATTTTTGACCAATTATTTTAAATGGACTAAATGATCTGCATTTATATAGTGCTTTTCTACTCCTACGAGCACTCAAAGCGCTTTACAACACATGCCTCACATTCACCATCCACACTCACATCCACACACCGGGGGCGGAGGCTGTCATGCAAGGCACCAACCTGCACACCAGCAGCAATTTGGGGTTCAGTGTCTTGCTCAAGGACACTTTGATGGGGTAAGGAGGAACCAAGGCTTGAACCGGCAACCCTCTGGTTAGGGTTCCTCCTGCGCCACCATCTTCTGTATGCATTTTTATTGATTCTCCCTCTCCATGCTGTTTCTGTATCTGTACCGTATTGTATTGCACAGCATCATATTCTTTTGCATTGCATCATAGTTGCTTCATTTGTGTCTTTAATGTATCGGATTGTCGGCAATGTATCTAGTATCGCATCGGCCTCAGTGATGGAGATGCACATCTGTACTGCAGAGTTATGTGTCTCTCTGTGGGTTCGTTTTTTCGTGTTTCGTTTGCATGATGATAAATTTAGGTACGAATCCAGCCTGTGGAAAACCACATTCTGCTTAGAAGTGTTATCTTTCTTCAGTTCCTTAAACCAGAACACAAAGGCTTTATCTAGACGCAGCACCAGAGAACGGGTATAGCTATACCTAATATGTATAGCATATAGAGAACGTGTATAGCTATACCTAATATGTATAGCATATAGAGAACGTGTATAGCTATACCTAATATGTATAGCATATACTAGAGGTGTAAATATGCACTAATGCATCATGATGAATCGATGATTTAGGTGTCGATTCAACTGCATGGGTCTGTAATGTCAGAATCAGTTATATCAGATTTGGGGGGGCAAAATCCTCCTTAAAGACTCTCCCCCTTCCGGGTTACACGCTTGTGTGCACATGGGCTAAATGGTAGATGATCAGAGTAGCAATATTTCGAGATTCTGCTTGCTTTCTATTTCATTAATTTCCCATGGTCATATCTGTGAATTTCTTTCAGCAAAGCTAAAAAAAAAAAGATTTGAATTCAGGTTATCAAAATAATCATATCATTGATTAATTGAATCGAATTCTGATATAAATTACAGATTTTTGATGCACCGAATCGCTCCCTAAATCATCGTAATCAAATCAAATTGCCTTGGGGTCAATGATTAACTCCCTGAGTATATACAGAGATATTTACAAAGTCATATGAGACACAGTTATGAGTATACAGAGAAATGCACATATACATGCTCACACACAGGCAGTCCAAACATCATCTAAATGCGCAGTGATATTGCACAGAAGGGCTCTTTGGGCTGACCTACAGCTCCACGAACTACACAAGCCCTGTCTTAGTCAGCAGAAACTGGAGCTGACCGGCCGTGGGGCTGGTGAGCATCCTTATCATCTGCCCTGCGCTAAATGTAGCACCGATGTGGACATTTTTGGCAATACCAATAACCAGATATATTTTTGTCTCATATTACCGATAACCAGCTAACCTCCGAGTTCCACAAATCTGTAGTGAAACTGACGTCGGTGACGAGGATCCCAGCAAAGTGTGTAGCGACCACGTCATATAATACAGAAAGGGGGGAATCAGCGAAGCAGCGTCGACTGGGAGACTAGCGAGGATCTAAGTGGTCAATGAGCCGACAAAGTCCCTCGGAAATGGCGGATGGTCCAATGACATCATCTCCATTATTTCTGTAGTTATGTCATTAGCTCTGGTGCTGCTAACTGTGAATACTGACTAAACTCTGAATATTGGCCGGCAATATCGACCAAGATTGACACATTGAATCGATGCCGATATCGTTTTTAATGAATGTTGGCCAATACTGATATGTTAACCGAGGACTGGATTGAGAAACGCTGTTATAACCAAATATATGGCCAGGCAGCCCTGCTGACGCTCACATTCTGCTTTACAGAAGTGACTGGTTTCCATGCTGAATTAGGGGGGTGATGGTGGTATGGTCACCACGCAGGTTCTCTCGTCAGACTGTGTTAGCGAAGTCAGGGTCAGTGTTAGCGCCAACCTGGTATGTTAGGTCTTTCCTTTTATTGCTGTTTACTAGCTTCCAGGCAAAGAAATGTTATGTGGTCTGGGTGTCAAGGTAAGGTATGAATGACTAGCTTAAAACGGTTCATTATTAAAACACTTATATGAAATAGCATATGCTGCCTTCAAGACAGGTCTTATCTGTTCTGTAGCATCCCGGCGGAGCTGCACTGAGTTCTGACAGATTCTGAGATGCGAGAAGCTACATTCTGAGGGACCGCAATGTTTGTTGACGATTTGGCTGCCCCCTGCTGGGGAGTCCTGGCCTATCGTTTCCTGTCGCTAGTTAATAATCTGCTGAGCACTACAAATCCCTAAATGGAATACGATACAGTTTCTGTTTGATTTTCCTGTGCCGTTCTTCGGTGGGGTTTAGGTTTTTTTTTTTTCTCCGAAATGCATATTTGCATCTAGCTTGGTAATGATCTACCTTTTCTGTTCTGCTTGTCTAGCTGCTGTAAAAAGGCGCCCCTGCAGATGAATCCAACAGCGCACGTGTGAGCAGCGATGGCTCCGGTGCTGAACGCTGTGCTGGGCCCGGGAGCTCTGGGGGTGGCACTGCAGCCGTTAGTGGGTGTTCTCACCACCGTCGTAGCTTTCCTGCTCCTCCTCGTCGTCCTGTGGCTGTGTGCGGGCTGTCAGGGGTAAGTCCAGTATGCCGTGTTCATGCGTTTATCTCACTTTGAACACTTTGCCGTCTGAGATGATAAAATGAGGCTGCATCAGTAGCAGTACTACTTATATAGTACCCATTTAGTATTTAGTGATTACAACTTAAGACATAAAATAGGTCATTAGTTTACGTTTGTGTGATGAGAGCAGTGTGTGGCTCAGTGGGCTAGGATCCTGTACTTGTGTTCAGAAGGGCGCTGGTTCAAATCTTCTGGTTAGCAGAGTAGTTTCACCATTGGGGCCTCGAGTTCTCGATGTCTCTATTGGCTGTCTGGTCCTGCTTACTCAAATGTGTGTTACTTCGCATGAATATGTCTGCCAGATAAATGCAACAGGAAGCTACTGCAGACATCGGGAGAGCCGTAACGTCACATTTTCTGCTTTCAGTTACGATTGAAGCATTTCGAGTTTGCTGCCATCTGATTTGTTGTCTAATTTTTGTGAGGCATTACAGTCGTTATTTTGTTCCAGACATCCATACATATCTCTATAAGAAATTTTTAAGTAAGGAGTTGTTATAAAGTGTCATTTTTAATTAAGTTGTTAAAACCAGTTAGTACTTGATTAGAAATTCTGAGCCAGTTCAGCTAAAGTTTAAGGTTTTCTGATTTACACTCGGCAGAGATGTTGTTGGGCTGTTTCCTTCTTTTTCTGAGTAGACCAATTTTATGCATCGATTTTTACATTTTTTCTTTTAAATTTGTTTTATTAAGATTAGGCTGGTATCTGCATAGAAATAAATAATAGAATACACTTTGAAATGTAGAATAAATAAATTATTCATGAGTTTCCTCTCTTGTTTTCCTTTTAGGTTGTAAACTATAAAAATGTAAATGCTATTATGTTGTGAAAATTTGTGCGGCGACATAATCATCCTTCGTTGTGCACGTTGGGACGTCGCATTCAGTTTGCTGTGTAAAATTAGCCAGGCTTTGCTGCTAATTATAGGACACAAACTCCGTTTTATTCCCTGTTTCTAGACAAAAGAAAGCCAACGGGAACATCAGAGACCATGAAAATCTCATGAATGGGGTGTGTATCTTGACAGTTTGGATTGAAATCAAACCCCCTCCGTTTCGATTGCAAGCTTACAGCACGTTACTTTTTTACCTGTAAAAAATATTTAATAGTTGGTCTCGCCGGGGTCGTAATCATAGAAATGACTGGAGCCTCTTTTTCTCTCTTAAGGTGTCAGAAAGGGAAGGATTTAGCCAGTCTGTTGAAAGCCCAGCTTTAGACTTGGCTGCCAGCAGCTCTCAGAATGGACCATTTACCAGTGTTACAGGTAGAATAAAGTCAATGATTGTTATGTTATGTTTCTTGTGTAAATGTGTTTCCTTAGCTTGTGGGAGTTTTACTTACACAAAAATATTCTGAGGGCAGAATGAAAAACGATTGATTTAGAGCAGGGGTGGACAATCTTATCGGCAAAGGACCAGTGTGTATGCAGGTTTTTGGGATAACCTGTAGGTCAGCTAATCATTCCACTAATTAGAAATCTAATTAGGGAGTTGCAGTGAAAACCTGCACACACAACGGCCCTTTCTCCATAAGATTGCCCACCCCTGGTTTAAAGAGATAACCAGTCAGATTGTAGAGGAGGTGGGTTCAAGCAACCACAGCAGGGGTGGCCAATCTTATCTGCAAAGGGCCGGTGTGTATGCGGGTTTTCGCTGCAACTCCCTAATTATATTACTAATTAGAGGACTGATTAGCTTAGGAGTCCTCACACCTGGGTTTGAACAGCTGACCTACAGGTTATCCCAAAAACCTGCATACACACCGGCCCTTTGCGGATAAGATTGGCCACCGCTGAACTAGAGGACGTGGGACCAAGACATCTGATTGGTTTGTCCTGCCTTCTCCAGTTGCCTGGACGCACCTCCTCTACAATCTAATTGGTTATCTCTCTGAACCAATCATTTTTAGTTCTGCCCTCAGAACATTTTTGTGTAAGTAAAACTCCCATGAGCACTTCCTTGTGGGGTTCATTTCCATTAACACCATTAACATACTGGTGTTATGACTGGATGAGGCTAAGCAATGGCAGTTTGACTCCGCTAGGCCATCAGCATGGTTCTTCCCATCCACAGCGCTTACGGACGACACGATAGACACCAGTCCCCAGCCTTCGGAGGATATTATGTCCAATCAGTCAGAGCTGAGGTCCTCCAAGTGCCCCCAGGACCGCGAGCTGCCTAGCATCCCCCCCCCTGGCAGGACTTTCGAGGAAGCAGCAGCGGGAGCACAAGCCACCAGCTGCGACGGAACCTACGAGATGGTGAAGGAGACATCCCGGGACGTCAGCGTGGAAGACTCCCTGTACGAGACCGTCAAGGAGCTGAAGGACTCTGGGGAGGGGTCTGAGCTGGCCATACTCAATGGGGGCCTCATCCCCAAATCTCCTGTCAGACCACCCCTGTCACTAGGAGCAGAGTATGCCTCTGTGGACCTCAATAAGAAGAGCCGGTACAGTACCGACCTGGATTCCCAGCGATGCATCCAGTCTCCAACCGAACAGGAATCTGAGGATGAGAAGCCGCCTCCCATTCCAGACAAAGTGCTGGATGAGAATGAGAACCAGCAGATGCCCTGTGTACCTGCAGTGGGGATGGAGAACGCAGAGAACGCAGAGAACGCAGAGGTGACACAACGGTTTGCATATTTACAGGTCATGTCTGTTTGAGATGTTCTGCTTCTCTGTTATCTTCCGCAGATTCTCCGGACCGTGCACCATGCTGCCCACAAAAAAGCTTGGGCTCCGCTCCTATTTACCACTATTGCACTATATTTATTTAAAATATTGTTTAACTTTAAAAAAAATAAAAAAGCGCACGTGTGATTGAAAGGTTCATGGTTTGAATCTCCGACCAGCACTGTAGCACTGAGGTACCCAGAGCAAGATATCGCCCCCAAGCACTGGCTGCTGAATTAGCTGCCATAATGTGACATGGTGATTAAATGCAGAGGACGCATTTTGTTTTTGTGTTCTGTGGTGTCAACAATGACAATTAATCACTTTCACTTCACTTTGTGCTTTCATATTTCCACCACCACTGAACTGATAGTAGTAAGTTTCGGCTTGTATTCTGCTACGTATGATGTCCCATGATGCATGGACTCTAACAGAACAGACCCCTGAAACTTTGACGCACTTAAATAATCTCTGGTGCAAGTTACATCATTCAGTATTTAAATAGGGTTCATTTGTGTAAAATGAAGACGTCGCACATGGTTTTACATTAGTATTTTTTGTAGAATCTGTATAATCAGGAGAGGGGTATACAAATATTTCAAAGATACTAAATTATCCCCATGGTATGCTGACTCACCCTCATGAGATGGATGATGAACCCCCCCCCCATCATCAAATAAAATGGTCACTTGGCAACCAACTCTACACTGAAATGCTCCAATCTGGGTCTGATTTAATTTCCTTAAACCAAAAAGCAGAAACTATAGGTTTGCCAGAGATGTGTGGAAATGCATATTGGTCACTGGCAATTAGGACATAATCTATGTTGAAATAATGTGGTTGTGTCTCAGAATCACGGTGTGATGGAACTGACTTAAACTTTCACACAAAGCGGTGTGTGACATGGCAGTTTCCTATAAAAAAGTTTAAAGTGTGAATCACTCCGCCAGCTTTTCCTGTTGGATGGGGAAGCAGGACTTTCCTAGAACTCATTCATAAGGAAAAGTGAAGCACAACACAGAGACGGACATAAGAAGCCCAAAGCGCAGATGAGATGTCAGACTTTTCAGGAGCTCCAAGATGGGGATTGGTGGTACACAGCCGGTGAATGAATTGGTGCTCAGAAATGGTTCAGCCCTGTTCTGCGCCTTTTCCACACCCTTGTGCCTCCAGATCCAGGGCCTAGGGGGGGTCAGCTCTGCCTAGTTTATGTTGCACTTTGTCCCGTTTTTGAGGAATAAAATACAGCATCTAATAGGCATAGATACACCGCCCTTCCTATACCGGCTGCTCACGACTGACGTAATTGCAGACTTAGGCAAAAAATATCTGCGGTACGTAGAGTTTACGGAATCGCTAATGAAAAAAAGGCGACATACACTGAAAATTTATCAAAACGTTGTCTTGTCATTTTTTGTAATATCTGTTTTTTTTTATATATCGTGTCATATTTTGGCTTACATGTCTTTTTTGCTATAAAGGATCTCTTAATGGTAAGGAAGGTAAATGTGACTCGCGAAATGTGACTTGCGTAAGGGCTGTGAGACCTATTACTTATGTTAATCGAGAACTACCTGTATTCTCAGTTGTACGTAATCTCCTCATACATTTCTCGATGCTATATATTGTAATGCACTGCAGATAAAGTAACAAAGGTCATCTAAAGGTATAAGAATGAAAAAATAAGTAAATATAATACATTGAATGCATCGTCGTGCTACAGTTTCATCTGATATAAAAATCCAAAGCTTTAATTTGTAGGTAGTTGTTCTTGAGCCAGTCAGGTTCAGTGCCCATTGCCATGTGGGTCACTGCATGTGATCATTTAAGGTCGTCAGCAGTGCAAGTCCAAGTCTGTCCTTCCCCTTGAACCCCATATTGCTGGGACACCTCGATAAACAATAGGCAGTCGCATTTTCTATCCAACGTCATCTTAAAGTCGCGGCTTAAATGAGCAGCGGCTCGCGCTTTTACCATTTACCGTCTCTCCCCGTTAGCTGTCCGCCTTGTATTCATCAGTCTTGAAGCCTTCGGCTACGGAGAAGGAGAGCGACTACAGCAGCATCGGCGAGATTAAGAGTGTGTCCGAGTCGTCCTCCAGCGAACTGTACGCCACTGTGAAGGACATATACCGGCAGCCGGGCCTGGGCGGGCATCCGCGGCCCCAGGACGAAGGCACCGGACATGGGGATCCAGGCTACGAGACCATCAAGATCTGCGAATCAGCCGAAAAGGCAACTGGGGCTGGAAGCCAGCAGGCGAATCAGTGGGAGCCCGACTACGAGAGTGTGGGGGAGCTGGAGCTAAACAGGGAGATGTCCCGACTCTGACTGCCAAACTGCGGACAGCAGCCCATATGCGAGAAGTATTATGATGCTGTGTTTGTCTGTGACAGGAAGTGACATCGTCACTTTCCCGAGGTACTTCCTTTTGGTCACACTGGTCATTGCATATCTCAATGTGTCAATGTGAACATCACTGCCATCAGACCTCTGCAGCAACACGGCTCAGTATTGTGTATAATGCACTTACAATGCATGAAAATCAGTAGGATTAGATGCCCATTTAAAACGTCTGTGTGACACATGCTAAAAATGTCGCACAATAGCACAGGAAGAAAATGAAAAGAAGCAGCACAATAGAGATTGTCTAAAACATTTCTCCGAAGATCATGTTACAGTAAAAACCAAGGAAAAGATAACACAATGTGTACTGCCTGAAAAAGTTTGGAATTTCTAACACCACAAGGGCACAGTTAGTGTTTTCAAGGTTTTGTTGTGAGAATTCTGCTTGATTTTTGGAAATATTTATAGCAGAAACGTAGCAAGTGGTGCATTGTGTGATGACTGTCCCAACAGACTCCTAGGAACTGAAAGTTCCAGATCTGAATAATAAATGACAGTCAGATGAAGGAGTATTATCAGTCACTGGATTACTGCGTAATAATGGGCTTAATTTAGCCAATGCAGTGAAGGGATGATGGGAAAATCAGTGGTTCACAGCATGCAAATTTATTTCAGGTATTATCGCTAATAATATAAACAATTATCTGGCTGTTATGTGTCATAAATGTTAGTTCCTTGCTGTAGGTACGCTGACAATAATCACGTTTAGGGTTCAGAAGCACAAAGAGTGGATTGTGCGGTACTGCAGAAATATTATCCATCAGCGGCAGCCCACTGCAGGTCACGCCATGTGACTGCGTGCGTATTTCTGCCAAAGAGACTCGCCTTTGTCAGATAAGTCTGTCAAACGTTGCTTCATCTAGGCTCTTTTATACATAGTTTTCTTGTCTTTACAATTTAAAGTACAAGTCTGAGATGCCTAGTAGTTCATTTGCAATGCACACTTGTAAACTTCATTAAAGGAGCCAAGCACAGTTTTTTTCTGACATTATTCAGAAAAATACTTTTGTAGCTTTTTTTTAAATTGTGTTAGACAAAGATTGCAGCCAGTTTCATATGGTAAGTGCGTACTGAGACACTTTTATATTCTTTACATATTATGACAATTCCACTTCTATTTGTTGTCCTGCAGGCTATTATAACGTCTGCCTTATTACTTGTATATTCATGGTACACTGCATTGGTACTCGCTGTCTTATTAATGTAATATGAGCAGTATTTTAAAATGTCTGGGTACTTCTTTTATTCAAAAGAATTATTTTATTATTGTTGAAGAATTGCTTTGTGATGCATTGATCCAGCCTGTTTGAATACACTTATAAATATGTTTCTGGAATGGCAGCTTGTTTAATGTCTTTGACGAGGAAAAAGGACAATGGAGTTACTCAAAAGAATATGAATTAACTGTACATATCATTTATCCCTTGTGTATCTATAGAAATATACATTAATGAAAACCCCTGGTAACTTGTTGGACCTGAAGTAGACTTTGCACTGACAAAAAATAATTTCTAAATAAAGTTCAAATTTCCCAAGTACTGGTAACATAAAATCTGAAATTGTATATTTGATTATTCCCATTAAAATGGCTTTGTGTATTAGATAGGCAGTAGTTTTATGTAATTAGTATTTATGAAAGAATTACATTCTTGCCTTTCTGATAATAAATACTCGTCACACTGGAAAATGAGCAATGAAAATTCCATGAATTTGCTAATATGACAGAATTTCTAGTGCCAAATATGGTATCCAAAAGAATTACAATTTGCCTGCTGAGGTTCAGATAACCACTTTGAATAAAAAAGAGCAACTTTGAAATGGTCATCGTCATTATTTACTGCTGACTGTTAATAATGTGAATATTATGTAATTGATACTTAAAAATTGTTGATTACCAGTAAATGCATGTATATCATTTATATTTTTAAATATATTTAAAAAGAATAATGCATTGGTGTCTTTTTTTTATGCCTCATGAGCGAAATCATGAAAATGTGGGGAGTCCCGTTGGAAGCCATGAAGAGCAGCTGCCCACAGAGCCTGACATTCCCGTCCTTATTTATTCTAAAATGTGCTTTTTCCAATAAATACAATTATAGTCATTTGGAAAACTATAAAAATAGGGACTGTTTTATTGCATATTCTAAAATAATCAGCTGTTCTATGGGTAACTACAGAGCTGTTTGTGCCTAAAGATGGAACCAAAGCCTTGCATTGTCCACCGCTTCACGCATAACCATCATCTGCTCCTTATTTTGTTTTGTGAGCCTTATGACTTTTTAAAAACCTGTGCACTTAATGTTATGCCTGTGAGCCTTTAAGAAACAAAATCTCTTTCAGAGTGTGCAAGGTTAGGTCTCTGTGCCTTTGAGCAGAAGGTAGTTGGTTCAAATCCCATGCTCAGGAGCATAGTCACATTGCTCTTTGGCCCTTCGGCAAGGGCCTTAGCCCCTCAAGATGACTTCTGGTGCTGGATAAACTGCTGACCCCATGCTCAGACCCTAAGCCTCTGTCTTAAAAGGAGTGCAAGATGGGAATTGCGAAAAGTAAAGAATTCCAAGCTTGCAGGGTAGCATGCCGTGCGCCTCGCTGCACCGTTTATAAAATAACCGTGTGCCCAGACTCGGCTCCAAGTTTTCCGACGATACCACCAATGTCGACAGATCTGCCTGTAGGAGGAGCCGGAGGAGGCTGGGCCCATGGCTGCCGGCAAGACCAAGGAGCTGGTCCTCAGTTTCGGGAATCTCCAGGCGTAACAGGCTGTCGCAGTGGCGAAGATACATTGGCAGTTTTTAGTTCCCGGGAGTCACCATCCAAGGCAAACTTACAGCCGCAGCGATGAATAAAGCTCACCAGCATTTTAACCTCCACAGATTGCTAAGGAAGATCCGGACGAGACCAGGAACCCTCACCAACTTCCACAGAAGTCGTGTAGAATCCAGCCTCAATAGATGCATCACTGCAGTGTAGAAACTGCTCAGCTTGGTACCATAGACTGTTCAGGCCTCCACCAGGCCTCGTCTGCCGTCCCTTCAGAACATTCACGTCCTGCGCAGTTACACTTCTCCGTTCTGGCAGAAAGCACAGCAACAAAATAAAATAGTAATAATAAAAAAAACTATGGTAGTTCAGTGTATCAATGCCACCTCAAACTCAGATTTCATCTCTGCTCCTAGCGTGTTGAGTCCCTAAGCAGGCCAAAGACACATAGTTAGGCTAAATGGCATCAGATAGTGTACGTTGCCTACAATGTACTGGTGTCCCATCCAGAGTGTACCCAAGCCTTGTGCCCCATGCTGCTAGGGATAGCTTCCAGGTGACCCTGACCAGGTTAAGAGGCTAAGAGATATAGGTGGAATTGCATGAAGGTAATCTTCTGCCCTCTGGTGCTCATTTTGAGGTACTGCATACCTCGGTGCCTGGTAACTGCATTCTGTAATGGGATCTGCAAATATTGCATGGTGCGATGTGTAATGTTCAGTGCAATTCAATTTATTTTTATGTAACACCGTTCATCATACAGTCACCCCAAGGTACTTCACAAGAGTGTGTGGAAATCCATTATTACATCATTTATATGAAATGATGCATGAAATGGGGAAGAGGGAAGGAAAGAAAGAATGCCAAGAAACAATGGAGGAGAGGAACCAGAAACTCCTAAGAAAGGAGAAAAGAAAAAAACCTCTGTGGGTCCAAGACTGACTGAAATGACACTGGAAAGGGGAGATACTGCAGCACAAGGCACCACCCTGCAAAATTTCATTCATTTCAGGATCTGTTAGGTCAAAGTTCAACACATGTCCAGATCAAATATACGGGCACTTTTATGGTGCCACTCACTGTAGATATTTCATAAGTTAATGCAACAACAAATCATAAGAGCATATTTTCTAGTGAAACTATTAATTCTATATTGTTTTTATATGTGACACATCATAACCCTCTGCCAGCAAAAGAAATCCCTGTAATCTACTTTCCTTAACCACTCAGCAAATACAGTGGCTGGATCCCAGCTCAAAAAGCACTGGGCAGAATGGAGACGCTTATACACAAAGCAAACGCCCCAGACAGAACGGGGACGTTTATAAACAAAGCAGTCTACCTGAGCCCACGTTTGTGGCAGGAAACACAAACACGCACTACTCTAAAAGTGAAAATGGAAACACTAACGATGTTAATTCTTATTGTCAGCCCAAACATCATCATATAGTCTTCAGTCAGAAAAGAGACTAATAAAACCTTATTTGCCAGTTAAGTGGAAAGATTCATTTAAAAAGAGCCTAAATCTGAAATAAAAACCTGTAGTCCATTTTGCATCTGTTTCTGTCCATGTTATGCACAGAACAAAATGCTGTCCTTGTGCTTCTTTTCAAGTATTAAATAAGTAACCTCTGAGCTTCAATTACAGGCCTAACCAAAGAGTTGCTTTGTGCTCCGTATGACTTTATTTAAGAAATGCTTTTTCCCCAAACGTAAAGCAGGGTGAGAGTCAGTGGAGCAATTGGGGGTTAAAGGTCTTGCTCAACCACTCTTATTATCACCAATTATAAATCATTCAGCTTGCCTTCCCAAATTCATTTACGTTTTATTAATTTAGCAGATGTTTTATATAAAACAGAATACATTTTGGTCAGTCTGATCTAGGAGCAATTAAAGGTTAGGAGTGTATATCACTCTTGCAGCTGGGGGATTTGAACCAGCAACTTTTTGATCACAGACCCAGCAGCCTAATGTCCCCTGGAGATAGGTGCATGCTCACTGGGCACCAAATTACCTTACCTAGAACATCTTTAGAAAACGATTCAATAATTCATTAAAACTTTATGGTCTAACTGCAAAACCAGTGTGCTCTTGTGAGAAGTACAATATGAGCTCAACAATGTTCCTTAAGGCTTTACACTGATAGTGAAAAAAAATTCAAAGCATGTCCGAGCTTTTAAAAAACTGACCAGCACTTGTGTTTCACTCCCAGGGGGCACCGTGTGGGACATCTTCAGCTGAGTTTACTTAAACTGTCATATGATACATACACGAAAGGTTAGGGTCAGAGTCAGAGGTGGGAATTTCAGGTCCAGAAAGTAAAAATCCAGACCATGATTTACTTTCAACCAACCAGTTGAGTACTCTGTGACTGTGACTCTTTATGCTCAACTGGTTGCTTGAAAGTAAATCATGGTCTGGATTTTTACTTTCTGGACCTGAAATTCCCACCTCTGGTCAGAGTTGTCTGGATCACTTTTACCCAAGTTTTCTTCAGTTGCAATAAAGAGGTACATTTAAGGGGCTGCATCTACTCACTGAAAATTACAAGGCTAAATTTCACCACTTCCCACGCTTGCAAGCTCTACAAATGGCTCTGGTTTCATGAACACAATATTTTTTGACTACACCAATAAAGCATAAGAGTCTGTAAACAAAAAGCCAATTCCAATGCAAACCAATTTACATCAACGTAAGTGTAAAAACAGTTTGATGTGAGAAAATAAGGGGGCTGACAGTTTGAGTTCCTGCTCTGCCCTTTAGGGCCTGCATGGGTCATGAAGTCCAGGTATAGTCTAGGTCACTCTGGCTGCTCTCCACTAGGGGGTCCCCTGGTTGCATCCTGATCCTGGAGGTCAGGACCTGTTGATGTCATGAGGCTCATCTTGGTCTGTGTAAAAGGCACAGGTGTCAAGTTACTGTTAATGGAGGAGGTGAAACAAACGAACAAACGAAAGAGGAAGAAATGTAATAAAAAACGTGTCCTTAGAAAAGATTTCTGAAAGGTCACAATAGTGGAATAACCTCATAGCCACTGACAATCAGTTACCTTCAAATATTCCACTTTCTCTTCGAATGACTTGAACGCGGCAGTATTCCTGCAGAAGAGAGTGCTAGTTTTGGCTGGTTTAGTGGTGTGAAGCGCTGTGTTAGCAAAGTCTTTAATTCCATCATGAGATGGTTTGCTTGTTTATTTATTGGCAAAAAAAACGAAACACTATTTTGTTGCTGTTTGACAGCAGATTAATTTATAGATCCTTTATTATGCTTCACAGTTACAAATTTATATGATTTTGTAAAACTGGGGAATGGGGGGACTTAACATCCCAGTAGAGATTAATATAGATATCCAGGTTTTCCTTGCTATTAATCACTCATTATTAAATATTGACATCTGTTCTCTCACACTGTCAGCAGTAAATGTACCCAGACCCTGATGCCCAACTGCCCCCTGGGGGGGTCGCACTGGGAACACAAAGCAGCCCTGGAATTTGCCATCAAGCGGCCAGTTGTTTTGGCAGTTATTTATCATGGCCAGTTACCCAGTGCAGGCTCACAGTGTGATATCTCAGTCTAACCTTGCAAATACCAGACAGTATGTTAGTACTGCCAGACCCGCTCACCTGACATCTTCCAGTGTTCTGCTTACAGCAAGGCCCACACTGGAGTAGGCTGCAGTGGCTCTCTCTCCAGCGTGGCTCAGTGACTCTGAGGTTTTCTTATAGCTGTGAGGAGTAAGAGAAGCAGGATTAGGATCTTCTTTCATTTCCCCAAACGCTGAAATGATATGATGTTTTTTATTTGCTATTTGCACAAGTATACACTGACATTCATTAGTTTTGTTGCAGATCACATCTTGCTCTCCATTGGGATATACATATTTTGTGATTTTGGGTTGGAGCACAGCGTCAGCCATTTATTTAGCACCCCTAGAGCAGTTTCAGGAGATTAACAGCCTTGCTCACCGGGACGCGAACTAGCAACCTTCTGATCACAGGCACTGAAGCCTAATCTGTGTAGCCACACACCACCCTTATATGTTCTCACTTCGACAGACTCGATTTAACAACTGCCGATCAGGAAGACACATACGCAGTGGAAGTGGTGACCTCCTGCCAGTTTCTGGTGATGGTCTGCTTGAGCTCATTGAGGGGAGTGATGCCCAGCTTTCTCTTGATCTCAGCAACTCTCTTCTCTTTGGAAGCCAAGACCTGACAGAGAGCCTGTATTTCATCTTCCACCTGCAAAGCAGTTTCAAAACAGAGCCATGAGCATACATTTCATTGCTTTTATTTACAGTGTAACAAACTGCCAGTACATACACTAGTCCAGTGTTGCTCAACCCGGTCCTCGGGGACCACCAGACTGTCTACATTTTTCCTCTCTCCCAGCAGACACTGAACCAAGCAATTATGAAAACCGAATGCCTGATGCAAAATGGGGACTATCTGGGGTCTGGGTTAATAAACACTGCACTATTCCTTAGGATTATCCCAGAAGTAAGCTAGATAAGTGTCTAGCTACATATGTAATACAGAAACCTCCCACAGCCTTCAGCTGGATTTATAATTTATCTGAATTCAGAAACCTAAAAATAGCACCTTAGCAAGCTGACTGTGCAGCTCCTCTTGATCCTCCAGGGCTACTGTACTGTCACATGTGTCCACAGCAGAAATAGCATCCTCTCCCAATTCTGGTGGCCTTGGTGCTTCTTCAAAACAGCAGCGAAAAACCAACAAGTATCAACAGTTATTTGAGTTTGCTATGCTTTTGCCAAGCCATTGTACTCCACAGGAAAATAACTGATACCAAAAGATCACATCCACACCAGGAGGAGACGATCCAGAGCCAGCCTCAGTTTCATGCGTCTCTAAGAACAATCATCAGAATATGGATGTAAAAAATTTGACGAGGCAGTATGGTCCAGTACATACCAATTATATAGGAACCAGTGCAATATTGGCTCCAGGTTTTGGTACCAACCTTTATCAGAGGCTGCAGCTTCCTTGTAAAATTTTATCCTGCAAATACTCCTCTGATTCTGGTGTGTTTTTTGTAAATCAATCCAGGCAGTATGAAATCTGACTTCGAATAGAAACAGTGGAAACGCAACATAACACAAATAAAAAGCACACACACACATACCTCTTAATGGTGATCCGGGTGACTCTGCTTGCGTTAAGCTCACAGTGGGTGACAGGTACAGGTAGCTGGTGTTCACACCTTGTTCGAAATTGAATGGCGACATGTAATCGTCGGCCAGATCCATTCTGCTTCGGTCACCAGGCAACTGCCCGGTTGAAACCGGGGGCTATGGCACCAGCAGGTGGGTGTACCCTTGTTTGCTTTCTGGGAGTCCTTCCTGCTCCAGACCGACCTGGCTGCTGCTCTTAGGCTACACACTCTCACATGACAATAATGGCGTTAATGAGTTACCTATCCTCAGATTGTAGCCCCTCACTGAAGACTGAAGTTTTACAATAATCCCAAAGGTCGGTGAGGGATTGTCACTTGGGCCTGAAGCAGGAAGACAAACGCTCTGAATAGGCAAATCAAACCGGGATTAATACCAAACTATAGAACCTCAATTATACATCACTCTGTCCACTCAGGCATTCAGTCTTAATTCAACTTATGTCTCCTGTATTCTCAATGACCGTGAACCCATGTGAAAGCTTTTCATTTGACTATACACTTGTATAACGTGAAATACAGCGGGACCCCCACATTCATGGTTTCCATTATCTGCGGTTTCCTGAGGTCTGAAAATTCCAGAAATAAATGGTTCATAAGTTTCAAACTGGGCACTATGCAAGTAGAGGCTGTAACCCAGTCACACCCAGTTTATGACAAATCTCCCTTTGTCATGCAGAACTCTCATCCAGCCTACCTCTCGTGTTCTTGCTGATCGCATTCATTGCCACATTATCACATGCGACATCCCATGACACATTTTTTCATTGCTCTATCATCTCCCGAGAATCAGGCTAAAGAATCAGAATCCCTTTCATTCAGGAGAGTATAGAACTGTACAGTACTGTATAATAATATACAATGTACTTTATTACTACAGAATTTAATGTTGGCAATGTCTTACTGTGTGTAAATGTCAATTAAACTTTAGCACATGTATGTACATAAAAAAACACATTATACACAAGGTCCACAGATGGTTCAGTATTATTTGCGGTTTTACTGGAACAGTAAAACTTCTATTTTGTCCCTCCATCTCCAGTTTTGTGATTCTAACATTATTTGATGTACAGCACTGTTGACTGCCATCCAGTGGTCATATTCCTAGAACCCAACAAGCAGGAAAATCACAACCTTCTCCAACCCAGATGCCCAAGTCCAAAATAAACATGTCCAAGCAAGCAACAATACACACATTATGCTGATGCGCCATACTGTGTAATTTTAGGTATTACGCTCCAGAGCGTGGTACACTATACTGCTGACAGTACCATAAAGTACAGCCTCTCATCGAGATGAATGTTTTTATTCTGCAATCATCTGGTCATTCCTCCATCATGTGAGAACCAGTCTCGTACTAGATGCGATTCATATGTGGTTCCTTAATGGTGGAACAAGCTGTTTTTAGTACTGTGTTGTTTTTTTAATTTTTCTTTTACTTTTTTGTTTTGTTTAATCTTGATGGTACTTTTACGTGTTCTACTGCTGTACAGCGTTTCGTGACCTTTCGTCTGCGATAGTAAACTTAATTTATAAAGTGCCTTACTTGCTTACCCAGCTACATGTGGTCTACAGAGTCATGAGCTTCAAGAAGCACATTAAGAATCATCTTTTCTGGAAACACCTCAACTAACTGCATCCCGCTGCCGATCTCACTGGCTCACTCTTTTTGTTCACTGCTTACTCTGTTCACGCATTTTATTCTAAGATTACATTCCTAGACTCCCTTGTTGGTATTTATCTGAATAACTCTTCTGATGTTAGTTTGCAACAATGTTTCTTGCATAGGTCTTGCTCCCACAACTATCCTGCATGTTACTTGTTACTCGCTGGAAGCTTAACCTAGCAGACCAAAATATCACATCTCCTAAATAAACACATACAAAAGTAACATGTTTTGTCATTAAAGTTCCTAACTTATGAAAGCCTTCTAAAGTGGAACTAGTAATGGCAATGAGACCAACCAGTACAGCATGTACCCAAAGCTTATGGCTTTATAACACACTCGCGTTACTGGCATAAAATGTGCACATGTAAACCTCTGCCTTTTTTGTATATAAGCAGACTATGCAGATTTGAAGTTAGGCTGTGTAAGTAAAATGTGTTTGTAATAATTGTATGAGGTTGTTGAAGACCAAGGATGATGTTTGCATTTGACAATACTTATAGTGGATGAGCTTCCACCCATCCATCTATCCATCCATCTTCTGTAACTGCTTGTCCTATTCAGGGTGGCGGGGGGTCCGGAGCCCATCCTGGAGGCTGTGGGCGCAAGGCAGGGAAGAACCCAGGATGGGGTGGTTTCCAGAACCCCTGATGTTTATACATGTTCTGTTTTATTGATTCTGCTCTTCTCCAGCAGTGTATGTCCAGCACTTTTCTCTCAGAAGCTTAATGGCTCATTTTGGGGGAAAAAAAACAGCAAGATCCTGAAATCCACCTAACAGGGAACATTCCTAGAACTTTAGCCAACATTATGGAAGGTACTCTCAAAGTTAGCAGAGAACGTTCTTATTGTGATGTTAAGGGGATGTTATTTCGATGCTTTACATTTTAACAAAGGTTGTGTCAATGTCAGCACGATAACATTATTACCTGAATGTCCATTTAATGCAATTAATGTTGAAAATGAAAAATTCAGTGTATACTACAAAAACACCATCCAGATCCAGACAACGTTCTGGGAACATCCGGAAAATCGTAACGTTTGGGGAGTGATCAGTACAGGAAGCTGCTCAGGTCCACAGTCACAGTGTCTATGCTAAGCACCGCTGCAATGCCTGTTTCCCAATTTTACGAGGTGGTTACCTTTACAGATGACAAAGCAAAAAAACAACGTCTCTACAAGTATGCATTGAGGGAACCGCATAGGGTGTGTTACTGTAATGAATGACAGATGAATGACACTGGTCTGTTCAGTGCCTTGGAAAAACGAGACACATTTCTACTATATGCTGATGAGAACAATAAAATTACACAGGTATCATAGACAACAAAACAGTTCTCTGGAAGGCCAGCAGACATTAAAGAACAAACCAACCAAACGTTCTGCCCACACAAATACTCCTGTATGATGAGTCATATTCTTGATCCCAGTCATGCTCTATTTCAACAACAGATTCAAATAATTGTTTTGGTCGATGAGTGTAGAGGATGGAACTCCAATAAAAAAAAATGATGCAAACTGATCATCACTGCACTGTGATGCCACGGCTTTGGGGGGCATGGGGGGGGGGGGGCAAGCACTTCATTTTCAGCCCAAAGTGGGACAGTATGACTTATTTATTTAGCACAGGAGAAAACACAAACAGGACATGGCCTGGGAACAAGGCAAGGCTTTAAAACGGTTAATAGAGCACAGAGCCGGATCGATTAGCAGGTCATTCTGAGCGCCGTGGGCATGATTAGCCTTAAATTAATGTCACAACACGGATGGGGGGGAGGGGGCACATATTCCTGCGAAAAATACACAGCTGAAGTATGGCCATCCAGATCACAAAGAGGGATGCAGACAAGCAGACAAGAGCAAAAGGTCTACAACAAAAGAGACATTCCAGGCATTCCGGGGATAGGAACAGACATATGGGATACTGAAAGGGATTAGGGTTGGAATTGCAAGGTAGATATTAAACATGCGTGGGTAGGACAGTCAGCCTGACATGACTGGTTGGTATAGTTACAAAATAACAATTAAATAGCAATTAAACACGCAGTTCTCTGGGCTTAATGCCTGTTTTTCATTTAGCGGGTAAAAGTCTATATTAGTCAAAATGTGTATTTTTAAAGGTGTTTATTAGTTTCCATGTTTTAACACATATTTGGCAGCACAAACAAGCTACAAGCTTCAAAACAATAAATGGTACCGAGAAATAAATATCGTATTTTTACACTCGACATGGGTGTAAATACAAAATGCATTTTTGCAGCCTACACAGGCAGCCTCTGTTTCATCGCCAGTGCCACTGCCAGTCCACTGCACGGCAAACACACTGCAGATGAAGACTGGAGTAACTGGAGGGAGACCATGCAAACCTGGGCAGAATAAGAAAGCTCCACTGGAGATGCAGGAGATGTGAGGGTACAGTGCGACCCATGGAGCCAGTATACTGCCCAAAAGGAAACGTATAAAATGAAAGCTTTAAATAACAAAGATGGTATTAATATACCTGCAGTAGCCTGAACTACCCGCGGCCATTCTAGGCAACATGGAGAGTAAAGAATATATTCAAATGTGACACTGTGACAAAACAGGACATGCATACATAGCTCTAATCTTGTTTAAATGACGTATTTCTAACCACGGCCCAGTTACAGTATATTAATATTAAGTTACTGATAGCTGTATTAGAGCCACCAAACATGCAATATATGCTGTCAAATGTCCCCATGTGTCCCCGTATATCTCCGTGTCCCCATATGTCTCCGTTTCACCATGTGTCCCTGTATGTCTCTGTGTCCCCGTATGTCCCCATGTGTCCCCGTATGTCTCCGTGTGTCCCCATGTGTCCCCGTATGTCTCCGTGTCCCCATGTGTCCCCGTATGTCTCCGTGTGTCCCCATGTGTCCCCGTATGTCTCCGTGTCCCCATGTGTCCCCGTATGTCTCTGTGTCCCCATGTGTCCCCATATGTCTCCGTGTCCCCATGTGTCCCCATATGTCTCCGTGTCCCCATGTGTCCCCGTGTCCCCATGTGTCCCCGTATGTCCCCATATTTCTCCGTGTCACCATGTGTCCATGTGTCCCCATATGTCCCTGTGTATCCCCATGTGTCCCCATATGTCTCCGTGTCACCATGTGTCCATGTGTCCCCGTATGTCCCTGTGTGTCCCCGTATGTCTCCATGTCCCCATGTGTCTCCATGTCTCCATGTGTCCCTCAACAGTCATTATTCAAATGAACCCACTAATGTTTTAAAGCTAAACTGATAAAAGAATATGAAGAACCTTAATTACTGAAGATATGAGACACTTAAGTCCCTGGACAACAACGCCAAAGTAGAAAACCTCACATCAGGAGGCTTGACAGGCCGTTCTTGTGAGACCAAAAACAAATAAGCACGAAGGACACCAGCTGGACGTAGCTGGTGAACATATGAGCCTCCCTACCCCATCATCTGCTGAACTCTTTCTGCCGCTGTTCAGACACAGGGCTGTCTCTGCATGTCTGACTCAGTCTGCATTACGGCAATTACATGCTGCAAACCACATCTGTAACACCCACACTTCGCAACACCAGGTAAAAAGCATGTGCTTAAAACAACATCAAGAAAACATGGGTACTATTAGTCTTTACCCATTACAAAAGACTTTAAAACATCTTAGGCAAGAGAAATTGTCTCCATCCTACACCCTCTAATCTGCAATATAAATCAAAATAATCCACCTGCTTTCCAGCTGCAGAAAAGCATGGTATGAACCTTCATGAACCACTGAAGGGCCCTGCTTCCAACCATCACCTATGCACCAAAGCCATAAGAACTGATCGATCCTTCCATCCATTCATCCATCCATCCATCCATCCATTTTCAAAATGTTTGTCATAGTCAGGCTATTGATTCAGTGAAAAGAAGCACGACTTGCAGATAAATGGGACACAAAACAATAAAAGGAGGACACGGTTTAAAATGTATCAGTTCAATAAGATTCGATTCAAATACAATGGAAGCAGCTTACAGTGATCATCACGGTTATAGTGATCAATGGTTTACATGGATCAAAAAGCCTGGGACAGAATGATTCCTGTACAAACACTTAAAAAATTTGCATATAGTAATCAAGTAGTCAGCTTACGGTGTTCATTTTGGGTCTTTTTAAACATTAGAACATATGGAAAAAAATTTAACTATTATTTTGTACTTTACTTAATTTAATCATCCTGCTTTGCCTTGTGGTAACACAGCTAGCTACCTGAGGCTAATTCTGTGTGCATAGAAAACATGATGAGAAAAAGAAAGTCATTTTCTCTCAATGGCAAATACAGATCAAAGCATAAGACCAACCACCAAAAACAAGCCACCAAGATACAACAGTGAAAATGCACCGTATAAATAAAATTGATTATTATATACAGTACTGTATTATAGCATATTTGAATTATGCACAGTTCCATAAATTTATATGTGCATTGCTGTAATTTGAAAAGCGTTTGAAACAGCTGCACTGTATTTGAAAAGTCAATAAAATTCAGTAAATACTGACGCTGTCCATTACATTATATTCATGTAATAAATATACAAATGACAATTAGTTGGTAATCTGCCTGAGACATATAGAAAGAGTAAAAATCGGTTATAATCATCTGCTTATAGTGATCAATTGCACCCAGACAGATGTGATCACTATAAGCAGATTCCAGTATATGACGCACTGAATTATTGTGATATCCTAGTTTTTCAAAAAAATATTCAATACATTTTTTTTAAACAAGTTCTATCGTAGACAGGATTCAAAAACAGCTTTGTTACACCTTTAGTAAACGGATCAATAAATTACGAAAGCAGTTTCTTTAAAAAATAAGATCTAAAAAAACATCCATCTAACTGCTCATGCTGGTCTAGTTCACCCACAGCCCATCCTATGCAGCACAGCTCTATATGGAGACGCCAATCAGCTTAAGCAGGGGCGATGCCAAAGGTTTTGGGCCCCATGTTGGACCCCCAGTCCAGATCAATACAGTTATTTTTTAGGGCCCCTGTCACTCAGGGGCCCTTCGAATCATCCTACCTCCCCCTGCCCCCTTACAGCGCCCCTGAGTTTAAGTGCATGAGTTTGGAGTACTGGAGGTAATCAGAGTACTTGGGGGAAAGTATTCAAACTAAAAACACAAACAAATAGCGCATATTTGTCAGTTTCAATTACTAGAAAAAGGCCTAATGAACTAGCCCTAATGAATCAAGTCAGACTAATATAATTCATCTGTCCATCTTCAATCACTGCTTATCCAGTACAGGGACACAGGGACATCCAAAAGACCTGCCGTTTATGAAATTGCTTAAATAACTCCATGTGCAGATTTTTTTTCTTTTTTTGAAGATAAAACAATATGCTCCCTGGTGCGGTCTAACAAAACTACTTGATAGTACATTAATATTTTACACGAACGCAGATCTAGAGTTAGTGTCAAACTTTTTAGCGTGTAGCCGATGAGATGTAAATGTTGTAAAATGATTTTGCTCGCAACTACATCTTAATTTGCCGTTTCCTGCGTTCTGACGCTTATTAGTTAGCGGACAAATTAGCTAAGTATTTGACTGATTTTACCGGCTGGAGATCAGCAGCAGGATTTTGACAGTAAATTTTCTAGAACAATTCCCAGAAATTTCACTCCATATTCGTCCCATGCAGATGTGTGCAGCAGCCAAGCAGAGCTGTACCTTGTCCGGCTCCCTCCATGCCTCATATACGGCGTGCTGTCCAGCGGTGCTGCGGCTCCAGGTAGAACGGGGGGCCACTTTGCGTCGTCCTCCGGCTCTGTTTTGCCCGTCTTGGAGGCGTATGAATGCGGGTGGGGGAGTGGGAGTGGCTGGGGCGCAGTAGGCGGGGCGAAGGTGGGTCGCCCTGTATTACATCGCAAGGCATGAGGATGGATGGAGTGGCCAGATAATCCATGTCAGGGAGATACGTTGAACTAATTCAAGTTGTACAAAGTACTTTAAAACTGAATGGCTCCTGTACTTAGCTAAATTGTTCAGGTCTTCTTGTACTTTGTATAACTTATGGTTGGTTTCCTAGCTTGAATGACTCATCCATCTGTTTCACATTAACATTAGTGACACGTGCAGTATATGAGACTGACCAATCAGCACACAGCAAGAACTCAGCGCTTAAGTGAAATTCAGGTTTTTTTAATTGAAATTGTAGTTTCCAAATCCTGTCCTAGCTCAATGTGTCCCCCATGACATGGATTATCTAGTAACCCTATGGATGGATGTACTGTACTGTGTAGATTAACAATGTAAAATGTAGTTCTTAAATTCAAAGCTGGAAAAAAAGACATTGTTAAACAATATTCAGATTGTTTTCAAATTTTGAGGCTGTATTGGACAATGGATGCAATTAATTAGTGCAGATAAAAGTTATTCTACATGTTGTTTAAAAGAACGCAAAAAGTCAATCATAGCTGTCATTTTGACCTACACTATCATATTGGTTCATGCTATCTTTCCATTCATTCTATGCATCTCAATGTCTTTGACAGCTATGCAAATTAAACTTATACAAAAAAAAAACATGACTAATTTGAGTTTAAGAACAGGATAAACACTCTAAAGTACCCTGGGAAACAGGAAAAAGATCTTTACACATGGCTAAACAAAGGCAACTTTCTTGTCTAATTAAATTATTATTAATTCATAAACAACTGAAGTCATGAACATTATTCTTGAATTAGGAGCAATAAACGAAACATTTACATATAAAGCACTGTAATCGAGACTCAACACCATTTTTTATTATAAAGGCTGCAAACTTTTTATAATTCATTATGCCTCTTAGCCCCAAACACAAGTGTATTTTTTGGTTACAGAAATAACCAAGATGCTCAGACCCAAATAGCATAAGGGAGTAGACAGAGGAGAAAGTACAACCAGTGGGGAAATACCTTACCAGTAAAGACTTACACAGCCCAAAGCAAGCGTCCTTTGTGTTTTCAGACATCTGTCAGGACAACTATTAGTAAAATTATTAGAAGCTCCTTCACTCCCGCAATGTACCAGTCAAAGAAATCCACTAGAACAGCGGACCAAAGTATACCTGTTAGAAATTGATAAAATAGTTTGCTGGTGAGAGTGCCACCTACTGGGAGAAACCCGTACTGGAGATTCTGGACTCTTCCACCTCGGTGAGAAAGAGCCTGAATATCGAAGCTCCCAAGAGTATTGTGTACTTTACCTAACAGCTCTTGTGTTTGTGTGTGTTTAACTGTGCGCCACACCTAAAAGTGGATTCCGGGGGTGGGGTGACTATTAATTGTCCATGATGGGTGTGTATTTGGACTTTTTCTTCTAAAGAAATAAACTACACTATCAACATTTATCTGTCATTGCCCAGATCCCAATGCATTCCTAATAATTGGCTAATTCTGGATATATTTAAATATACTCTTTTACACGAATAAAATACTAACATGAAACTTGCATACTTCAGTTTTATGACTTCTGTGAATGTTAAGTAAAGTAAAATGTGACTTTTGGGGGGAAATATATATAAAAATAATAAAAAAAGAAAACTCCCACGGACATCAAAACATGAAAATTTGATGGCAGCATATTACAACCGTAATTTCGTTGCTGACAGACAGTGCTTATGTGACGCCTATATCTGTTTTATAGCACAATAAACCGACATATAGGTCGGTTTATGGGCGGGAATGTACCGCACCCCGGCTGATGTGGCCGGTCTAGCCCCCACCTCAACATTCATACACACCGGCAGTCTATCAGCTGGGCTACTCCTGCACCTGTCCATCGTACTTTGACTCTCAGGTACGTCTGAAAAATGCCCTGAACCCGGAGCCATTTAACCAGGCGAGTAGAGACGGTGCACCGGACACACAGATCTACATGCGTGAACTGGCCACCGCGTAATCTTCTCGTTGTCCGCAGCACCCCCACCTTCCCCTGACCCCCACCTTCCCCGGAGCAGCCCGTGACCCCCCTGTCCCTGGCCGAGGTGCATTATGGGCAAAGTCGCTGCCGTCCGACCTCTGCAGGCTGCGCCGGAGCTCATTATGCCTTTAAAACCTTTATTTATTTCCGCATAACCTCCATCGCTGCTCCCACCAGGAGGCCGGCGCTCAACGCAGCCGTCGGTACCGAACGGTGATTGGATCCCGAACAGACCACCGTGCGCTTTACGTCGGACTCGGGTGGCAGGAATAATAGTTTTTATTGAAGTGTACATTTTAATTTACAGAGAAAATGTCCGAAGAAAGAAACCGCAGGTCGTTGGCTTTTCGAGGAGGCGGACTGGCCGTGAGCGGCTCCGGCGGCACCAGCGCTAACCGCCGGGAGGCCCAGGCCTGGCCGAACCGGCACCTGAACGGCAGCGGGCCGGAGCAGGAGGAGGACGGGGACCTGGGGGCCAAAGGGACGTCGGCGGTGCGGCTTGAGGGCGAGGGGTCCGTCAGCGATAGCACAGAGCCAGAGGCGGAGGAGGAAGAGGATCTGGACGCCGGAGATGGCGAAGACGACTGGCTCTCCGGCTCGGCCGCGGAAGGCGGCGGATGGACGGGGGGGAATGACTACAGCGGCGAGGACGGAGCTACGGCCGCGGCATCTGGGGAGGACGACGGGGGCGAGGCAGAGAACACGGCTGAGGAAGAGGGAGCCAAGAAGCCCTGGGTGGGAATGAGACCGCAGACCCTGCTGCAGAAACACTCGCTCTTCCAGGCGTCCTGGCTGCAGGAGTTTCCGTGGCTGAAGTTCTGCCGAGAAACCGGCTCCATGTCCTGCTCATGGTGCCGCGACGTCGGTGCCAGCAGCGACGAGCTGGTCAGGGGCAGCCGGAACTACAAGCGGGCCCTACTGCTGAGGCACCACCTGTCCGCGGAGCACGGCCGCAATGACCCCGCCAAGCAGGTACGGCGGCCGCCCGAGCCCCTCTCCCCGGCGCCGCGCCGGCGCTCCCCGTCGCTAATTTCGCTTAGAAGAAGCGAATGCTAATCAGGCTAACTGTCCGACTGGCTAGTCAGGCTGGCCAAACCTGTTAGCTACATAAATCGAGAGCAGTTAGCCTGTTAGCTAACGACAAGAATAACGCTTCACTTAACGAGCTAAACCGATCTGCAGGTACAGTAGCGGACTTTAGCTCCTTTAGCTGGTTATGGCGCTAATCTAGGTTATATTTTCATTGTGAATAGTACTGCGAGTAATTTTTTTTAGATTTAATTAGTATTGTCAAGTATACTGGTATCCAGTATTGTTTTAAATATAAATCCTGTAATCAGGCCACCTTAACATCCAGAATAAGCTGCGGGTTTATCCGTAAGCAGTTGGTTAGGCTGTTGGTATCGTTTTATTTATCTTACAGGAGGGAGCAGGCAGCCTGTAATGGCAGAGGTCAAACAATGGCAGGGTTTGGTCTGGGGGACCCCACCCGGAGGAGCACACGACACCCCCGTGGTGGTGGTGCCTTGGGACCCCACCCCCACCTCTGTTGATGAGTGTGTTGAATGACCTCTGTCTTTGCGGTGGGGGTGGTGGGATTGTGTTGGGTTGAGTTTGGTGGGTCATCTCCAGACCGGCCAGAGTACCCAGCAGGTGAAGTAATTTTTATATGAAATGCAGGTTTGGCAACAACTGCCACTACAATCCAGTTTTACATAAAATTTTCTATGTAAGGGGTCATCCAGCCTTACTAGCAATGTGGAGGAAGTGGGTCGATCATCAGTCCATTTTTGAAGAGGATAGTAAAAAAAAAAAAAAAAGTAGCACAATATTCTGACAAGTTCACTGAAGGTAACTGCTACTAAACTGTCTGACGGCCAAGGAGCTTCACAGCAGAGAAATGATTCAGGAGAATGATATGCCTTGCTGTCTGCTGTGATGAATGCATTTCAATTAGCTTTCACTTTATCACCTGTCCTAATGCATGCAGGTTCTGCCATCTTAATTATTACTCTCACTTGCATAAGTGTTCGTGTATTAAGTGTATTGTTCAGTGTCCACTTAATATACCAAGTCTTGTAGGTATAATGTCATTTCGGAGATATTAAAGCATGGAGCACAAGCTTATTGTGCATGGGTTGAATAGCTTAGTGTATGAATTTTATTTTATCTATTTTATCTTAAATGACTCTGTTTTTATATACCCCTAATTAGCAGTGGTGAGTGGGTCTGATTGGTTAGAATTGCCTCCAGCAACACAAGACTGTCCTGGCATCAAAGACTGTGTTTCACACACATTTTGGTGCCAATTCTGTTGATTAATTTTCTGTTTTCACAGATTTTGTAATATTCTTACTCTCAGAAATTTTTGATAATAAGAAATGGTTATTTTTTTTAATATAAATGTATATGTGGTATTGGTGACGTGTTGAAAATGTGTAAATCAGTAAAAGCAATTCTTGGCTGCAATATCTATTGTAAATCACCAAGTGAATAGTTTGCAGATAATTATGTTCATTTTATCTCTTCTTGCCAGTAGTGCGATATCCCAAATTCCCAAATTTATAATGAAATGGCTTTAATTATTTATCCTGCATAGTCATTTCACATCACCTCAGTGACGTCCCAGAAAGACTGACCCTACACCACATTTATGAACTAGTGATTGTTCTAGTATCTTATAGTATTGGATAAGTTCTTAAGTAAAACCACTACCGGATAAACACATACTATAGTCGTGAGATGATATTCTGTGGCTCACATAATTTGACCTATTGTACTGTAGTGGGCTTATTTTGTGAAGTCTGGGTGTAAAAATGTTTATCGCTTATGTTTAAAATAAATGCTTGGATGTGTGCTGAGGCGTTTTCCTACAGTCCACCGTTGACGTATCAACAAATTTAAACAAAAAAATCCTGATTGACATTCCATCTATTATTTTCAAACTTAATCTCTGTCGCAAGCTTTGGGTTCGGTCTTTTAAGTATTGATGAGGTCCGTAATTGCGGTTTGAATGATGTGTCCGTTCATGCTAGCTATCAGATTTTTATATATATTATATGTCACTTGTGCTGGTCGTCCTTGTGCACCGTTCTGGCTTTTCAGTATTTGCATGCTGTCTGATTCTCTGCCAGCTTTTTCTCTCGTCCATCAGCTAGGGGGTGCTCCTTGCACAAATGTTGTATGAAATGGTGTGTCTGCTGGCAAAGTGGATTAACTTCAGACTGTTATTTACCCACTTCCTGGTTGAGCGAAAATGCAGCTCCAGTTTCTGCTTTGCAACGAGAAGGGAACCTTCCTTGAATTTAGTGTCCTGTTTGTGGAAAGACTGTGTTCAGGTACAAAGAGAATGTCAGGGCGGGATCACAGCCTGCACACTCGTTCTTTGTTAAGGCCCCGGCCGGGCGACCCTCCCACACCTTGGGCCTTGCGTGTCTCACAACTGCATTGTCTGGGAATCTTCCAGAAGACGAGCTAAATGGGACCAGTGCCCCCATTTGGGATGCTCCCTCACAGTGGCTGGCCTCCCTCAGCACAGTAACCAGAACTGCACTACAGGAGCTTCCGTGGGGTTACCTTTCAGTTCCGGGTGTTTGTGCCGGGGTAGAGATGAAAGGCATTTCGGATGCATGTATTTCTTGTGTTTGTGCCCGCCCCCCCACCACCCCACCCCACCCCGAGGGATCCCTTTCTTTATGCTGTTACACCTGCACTGAGTTATTTTCTCCCTTTGGTTCATTTTCACTTTACTCGGTTACCTGTGTCATAGTGCCTTCTGGTGATAATTTTATTTATTTTTTTGTGCATTTCCAGTTGGATCCCAGGCGTATTCATAAACCTGGAAGATGGCCAAACCCAGCCTTACCTGGAATGACATTTATTAGTAATTTGCAGTATGTCCGACTACATAGGTTCCTCTTGGGCGTAAAACATTTGTTGACAGAAATTAGTGCATAATTAGTTTTCCTCTTTCGAGAGTCATGCGACGGCTCGGCGTGTCTGTTTAATCTTTCTCGATCACTTCTCTACGGCAGAATTGCTGTTAATACCTCCGTTTGGGTCCGTGTTCCGTTCAGGGCATCATCAGCATTGGCTTTATGGCCTGTCGATCTACGGAAGCTGGGAGCCGTTCCTTTGATTATTTGTTTTTAAAAATCAGGGCGAGACGTTTTTCACGCCTGTCATTGGTGGGGGTTACATTCAGCCAGCCAGTGAAACACTACGCTGTGTAAATGCTGCTAGTCTCAACATGTGGCACATCTGGGAGTCTGGGTATCGTTGGCCGATCTGGACGGTCCCTCTTGCTGGCTTTGCAGCAAGACGGTCATGTATCTTATTGAACCTCTCTGTGGTTCTGCTCAACCCGTCATGTGCAGGGAAGTTTACAGCCCCCCCCCCCCCAATCCTCAACATGCGGACATTGAGGTTGATGCTGTTCCTTTTCTGCCGAAGTACAATCTTTTGTCCTCAGACTTTTTTGTTTTTTGCAGATGTTCGCTGCTGCACAAAATATTGTAACGGTTTGTTTCAGGAGTTGTGTTGTTCATTAAACATTAAACTATGGGAATGGTTCAGCATGGAAAATATTTTAGTGTAATTGAGTTATTTTCTTTGCGCAGCTTGAGATGGATTAAGGGTAAGAGTTCCTTTATAGATTTGGCCCGGTTCATCCCTTACCGATAAAGCGTATCTTTCTTTGAGAGCTTGCTCTTCACAGGTTTCATTGTGCTGTCGTTCCTATCCAGGAACCTGTCCGATCAGCCCTCACAGTGAGAAATTCCCCCTGACTGCTTTACCTCAGCCCCCCCCCCCCCATTTTTCTTTCTTCCCCCCCCTCAGGCATCTAATCATTCTTGTTCTTGTTCTTGTGGTGGTGCCAGGAGACGGAGAGGGCAGGAGACCTTGACGGGGAGGAGATGGAGGGCTACAGGAACAAGCCGAACGAGAACTCCTACTGCTACCTGCTGCTGCAGGAGCTCAACAAGCAGAGGAAGAACGGCATCCTGTGCGACGTCAGCATCGTGGTGGGCGGCCAGGTCTTCAGAGCACACAAGAACATTCTGGTGGCTGGCAGCCGCTTCTTTAAGACCCTCTACTGCTTGACCAAGAACGAGAGCTGTGACCAAACCACGACAACCCACCTCGATGTGGCTGCCGTCCAGGGTTTTTCTGTTATCTTAGACTTTCTGTACTCGGGCAACCTTCTGCTCACAAGCCAAAATGCCATTGAGGTGATGTCTGTGGCCAGCTACCTCCAGATGACCGAAGTGGTGCAGTCCTGCCGGGCGTTCATCAAGGACGCCCTGAACATCAGTATCAAGAACGAAGCGCCCGACTCTGTGGTGGTGGACTACAACAAGCGGCAGACCCTCACCAAAGACGCCAAGGGGTCGGACAGGAAGCCCAGTAACTTCTGGGCCACCAGCATCCTTTCCAAGCTCTCCATCCAAGCCAGCGGCCACATCAAGGAGGAGCCTCACGACGAGGAGATGTCGGCCAGCGAGGGATTCCCGCTCGGCCGCTCCGGCTATACCTGCGACAACTCCTCGGAGTCGGCGGAGAACGAGTCGCTAGGCCAGGGGCCCGTGTTCGTGTGGAACGACAACGCAACTGCCACCCCGGTCAAGAAGGAGGTGAAGGAGGTGAAGCAGCAGCCGGGCAGTGGCCGGCGGAAAAACCAGAACACGCGTCGCTTTGTCTACAACATCCCGCCCCAACCCGAGGAGGCTTACGACTATTGCATGTTGGTCCAGCCTACAGCGTCTTACCCCAGGGAGGACCTCTTGTTCCTCTCAGAGAATGCAGGTACATCCTCACAGGCACACATATGAGTAGGCTTATTCAATGCCACATTTTTGTTCTCAGAATCAAGTTTCCAAATTACCTGGAACAAACTGGGTTTTTTTCCCGGAATCTGGCGGGGCGGGGGGCGGGGGGTAAAAACTGAGCTCTGTGCAAAGGAAAAAGCTGCCGTTATGGTGGATAGTCACACGTTCCCTGACACTGGTCCTGCTCGTGGGCTGCGTTATCCGTGTTGTGTTTCTGGTGCTGTTCCCAACACCCCTGTGCTGTGTACCCCAGAAATCCACAGCTTCTCTGGCTGGTACTTCAGTGGGGCTGTCCGGCTGACTGCCAGTGGCTGTTGCAGTGCGCCCTGCCACTCCAGTGCAAGTTAATGATATTCTTCTAGGATATCCTCTGTTTTGAATTCTCATTACGGATTGTTTCAAGTGGGTTCTTGGGATTGACAGTCGGCCTCCACATGCGTCTGAGTGACGTTAATGGAAACGCCAAATTTTCCTTCTTTGTAATGTCATTTATTACTGTGGGTGTTGCTGTTTCCACGGGTGCTGGAAGCTGCGTAGGTTGATGGTCTTTGCGCAAACATGATGGGGCTCCATGTGCAGCCCCTATGCAGGCAGGCCTGCTGACTCGATAGAGGGCATCACTGTCCGGGCTCCCATTCCCTAACCCTACAGGCACTTGCCCATAAGCTCCTGCCCTCTGCTGGTGGTTTATGAAAACTACTCCTGCTGTGCAGTCTGACATGCTGAGTGGGCTTTTATTCTGTTTAATAATCCGCCCCCCCCTCCAGCTCTTGGCAGGAGCAGGATGTCGTGGGCTGGGAAATCTGGGCTCGTCTCTGCAGTACAGTCTCATTTTTAAAGTTCTTATCGTTTTGTCATTATTGTTCTATGCTGGTACCTCTATTACCCTGCTGTCCTTATTTCACTGACTCCCACAAACAGGCTGTGGCAAGTAGAGTCACCGATTGCAACGTTTTTGATCTGAGCTGTATATTATTATTTTTTCTCCCTGTTCTGTTACCTCATGTGGACGAAATTTGATATTGTTGGATTGTAGTGCGATCTTTTCCAATATGGTTGCCAGTCAGTTAGGCCACGCCCCCTAGTCAGGGAGCGATATTGTTAGGAAGAAACCAGGGGAAAAGTTCCCTGACTGTATATTTGTTTCCCTTCAGAGTTGGCCAACCAGATACAGTGCAGCATAATGCAAGATTCCCACCAAGCAGAGTCGTGGGAGAATGGTAAGACTGTGCCTTCCTAGTTCAGTGCAACCCAACATCTTTTGCCTGGGTCTTGTAAAGGAAAGATTTGGCCGTCTCATTTCACAAGGTGGCAAAGTTTATTGGCAGCTCTGCACTTTTCCTCAGCACTTTCCCCTGTGTTGAAGCATTGCATCAGACTGATTTTTTTATTTTTTTTTTTTACCACGTATTACCCCCTCCCACCTCCCTGCATATAAACAAATGGTACCACAAAACCCTCAACCCACATCCTTTGCATGAAAAACCTGCTCAGAGCAGCACTCTGCTTTCGAAAACATCAAAGCCGTAACCGCTGGTTTCCGAGAGCGAGTGGCGCCGTTTCCTACACTTTTATCGTGTGTGGAATTCTGTGCCGTTTTTCGGGAGCGAGTGATCGATCCCCGTGTCTTTGGCGGGCGGGTGTGTCTGTGGAGTCCAGCGCACGTAACGGTTCCCCGTTTTCCGTCTGGCAGGCGAGTCCTCGGATGTGACGGAGAACAAGCTGAAGTGTCCTCACTGTAGCTACATCGCCAAGCACCGGCGCACCCTGAAGAGGCACCTGATCATCCACTCCGGAGTGCGCTCCTTCAGCTGCGACATCTGCGGCAAGCTCTTTACCCGCCGTGAGCACGTGAAGAGGCATTCGCTGGTGAGGCCCCTTCAGCCCCCGCACCGATCGGCATGCGCCCTGCTTGGCTTCGTGCCTCATTTTGCCAACGCACAAATAAAATTAAATAAAAACAACTAAACAGAAACTATAAATATCGCAAACTAGTTGAAATATATGAACGTTAAATTTAAGCAGCTTGAAACCTATATCTCAAATTCGCTGAAATTTCGTATGAAAATTAAATTTAAAAACCACAACTATAAATGAAAACGAGAAATATCTCTTCTGAAGGTAACTGAAATAAGATGAGACTGAAATAGAATAAGAAAAAACTACAGCTAAAGAACTTGCAAATTTCCCTTCTGAAACTGATAAAAGCACATGTCCAATACTTTCCATCATCATTTAAAAATATTAATGATTTATCTCTAATTACCATTAATAATACCTGGAACATATTTTTCCCATTTTGAGGACGTTAGGACGTAACGTGCATTCATGATGTAAAGATGATTTAAAGATCAGACACACAATAGCTCTACAACTTTCAGTCTATCCCTAGAAATAAAATTACTTAATATATAAAAACTAAAGACATATTTCATATTTCTAATAATACCTCTGAACTTAAACTGTTCAACTGGATTTCAAAAGAACTAAATTGAATTTCAAAAGAAAATTGAACGTTGACTGAATTAAAAAGTCAAGTTGTAGTGTCACAGCTCTGAGGGAGTTGCTTGCGTTATGAATCAGCCTGTGCTTGTCACAGCCCCTGGGCTATCAGCTTTCATTCCTGAGGTGCTGTTTCTGTGCTGAAACTCTCCTGAAGAGCAGCAGTCAGCTAAATCTGTTTTATCATCATGAAACGGAAGGAGGAGCCGTTTAACCAGCCCACTGAGGTGGTCGAAACAGAAACCCACATGGGGGGGGGGTTTTTGTATGCACTTGGAGAGTAATGATGCGTCTGTTTGTTGATCCTCCCTACAGGTGCACATGAAGGACAAAAAGTACAAGTGCATGGTGTGCAAGAAGATCTTTATGCTGGCGGCCAGCGTGGGGATCCGGCACGGCTCGCGGCGCTACGGCGTCTGCGCCGACTGCGCCGACTCCCACCAGGGCTCGCAGGAGGGCCTGGAGGCCATGCAGGAGCTGGAGTTCTCGCGCGAGGATGACTTTGAGGAGACTGCAGACGGGGAGGAAGACCTGGCCGACGAGGGGGAGGAGCCAAATGAGATTGACCAATCCAACTGGGAGGAAGGGGATGGCAGCAGACCGGCAGCCGCCCTTGATGAGGACTAGTTTAAAAAAAACAAAAAAAAAAAAAACAGCTGGGAAACAATCAATTACTCCAAAGTGCTATCATTCATGGTTATGCATACGTGTCGATGTGTGACAGAAACGGGCTTTGGTGGTGTGGGACTCCAAGATGTACACATTTATGTTTCCGACTCTGGGCCCGAGGCTCGTGGAACGTTGCAAAATGTCTATGAAATCAGGTTTTTGTGATGTATTTTTTTTAATTGTAGGTGAGGGTGGTGTACAGCAAAAATTACAGTAGGCCAATCATCTTAAGAAATTTTAATTATTTAATTTATAAAAATTCAGACATATGGTCTTATTAAGTATAATTTTTTTTTCTTGTCGTTTTGTGTATGCTGTAAAAGCTCTGTCCTTCCCGTCAAAGTTGAACCTGTTTGCTATACAACTTTCAAGTTTGAAGCATTATGGGCTGTCGTCTGCTGAAAGATTTTCTTTACTTTTAGATGAGCTTTTTAGATGTTGTGAATATTGTTATTTTTTATCCTTTCCCTGTGTAAGTCTTGGAACCAAAAATCTGTTTTGTCTCTATAATGTATTGCAGCCATATTTATAAAGGATTAATGTGGGGTGTCGTGTTGTGCCAAGAGGAACGCACACCAAGATATAGCAGGAAACGAACTACTGAAAATGCTGGGGGATGGGGATATGGGTCAAATAGTTATTTAAGGGGGGGGGTCTTGTGCCAGCTTTATTTGAATCACAGCATCAGAGGTAACACTTTATAAAGCATTTTGACATTCACTTAAAGCTTGAATTTGCCAAATTATGGAAGTTTGGTGCTGTAATGCTTAACTCACGATACTGGACCTACACCTGTATATGGTTTTTATTAAAAAGGCTAAACTCAGTTATATTAATCAGCTTTCTATATAACACTGTTGTACTGCAGACCATGTCAGGTGTGCTATGCCATTTGTTTATTTAATGCACAATTTTTAACTTTTTTTTTTTTTTGAGAACTACCGGCAATACTTGTAAATGATGTATATGGTAATTATATAGATGAGTCTGCAAGATTAGGTACTTTGCGTGCTTGCGTGCTCACATGAACGTCAGGTAAAGTATTTCAGACCGATCATGATGTATGAAGTTCTTTAAAGAGATCACTTAGATTTATTGCATAAGTCCTACAATCAGTTGATTTTATTTGATAAATTGTATGTCTATGTTGTGTATGTCAGGATGCGTTTTTTTCCTATCCAAGATGAATGCTCAGTGATGGCTCATAGAATCGCACTTACTATTCTGCTTTCTTTGAAATCTTTTTTTGTGTCTCTGATCTGAATGGAAAATTATACTATTTTTCCAGTTTGGAAGCTTTTTTATAGATGTTTATTTAATATTTTGACTCCAAATGCAATCAAGACTGTTAATTTCTATTTGTCCAACCAAAATTGTTGTTGAATTGCTGTTAAAATTCTGTATGGGAAGCCAGGTATATAATGTAGTGTCCAACCATGCTTGTTTATGTTTTTGTCAGATTTTAATGTTTTGATCTAAATCATTCACTTTATCCTAGATGCATATATTTGTTTTTTTTCCTCATTTTTTAAAATTTCTTCAAGCACATATTTTATTAAAAAATGTCGGGTTAAACCTAGAACATCCATTTCTGTTCGAATGCAGTGAATCTATTGAAGTGCTATAATGATACAGAAAATGTTTAAAGCTCCCTTTAAATGAAATGTATTTTAAACTGTATAGAATATATCATATTGTTATTTACCTTAAAATCACTGTGGGAGGAAATATATATATATATATATATATATATATATATATATATATATATATATATATATATATATAT